TTTCCTTCTTCTTGTTGCCGCTGCTGCACTGGTATGTTCTACCCATCTTTTATGGTTTTTTTTTCAAATTTTCCTAATTTTGTTAAGAATTGTGTTGGATATTTGAGCTTTGTTGCTTGGCCAGAGAAATTGACTTTTGCTTGTTAAAATAGAAAACCCATATGCTCTTTCAATAGAACTTTTAGGATAAGGCACAGGAAGTTCAAAACCTGGATCAATTCTACTTGGTTTTGCAAAACGAAATATTGCATTTGGTTTCGTATACTTGTACTCATAAAATCAAGATTTTTCCCATATTACTTGGGCCTTCCAATTCTAGACACGGCCAATGAATGCTACACGAAAGGATTAGGTTTGACTTTGATTTTATAGGGTTTATGTGATAAATGGGTGGACGTACTAGACCTTGGTAAACGGATCGAGAAAAACCCGGCTAAACCTATTATACACGACACAAATCTTATTGTACATAACTATAAATGGATTGGGTATTGGCTACACAAGTTTTGACCGGATAAAATTTAAACACAACACTAATCCGGCCCGACATGATTCATTGCCAGACTTAATATTACTAGGTTATGTTGTTCCACACTAGCAATATAATGTGCGCTAGAAATTGGGTTTCTTAAATTTAATGTGGAATTCTTATTTTATTGATTTGAACAGATAAATGGGTTGAATTTCTCTTCATCCTTCAATTATGTTATGAGATTGATAAAAAATAATCACCCGGTTTGGTTATTGTTAATTGAGAATGCAAGGAGGGTTGAATTGGGTAAAGATATAACCTTTGGCATTACTTGGATAAAGTGGTGCTCTCACATGTAGACCCCAACCTTGCAATGATCTACTCCAATCATTTTATCACATCACAACTTATTGTTCTTTGCACTCAACTCAACAATTCTTGGCCCAACTACTTGCAGTCAGCTATGCCATTTTTTCCCGTATATTCCTCTTTCTAGATCGCATTCTATCTAGTTATGGTTCTTAATGCGGATACGAATTCCAATCCTTCTGCTTTTAAACATTCTATCCCTCTATGTTTTTTACCTTATCTTATACAATTTTGTTCTTAATATCTTACTTTTTCTGCCACTGCTATATCTGCCAGTTTAGTTCCAATGGGTATGATTCAAATGGCATTTAAGATCTTGCAATTGAGAATTTGCATCCTTACCTGTTCGTGAATTGGACAAGTTATGCCGATGTTTGTTCATGACTTAGGTTCGAAAAAAGGCAGCTATGGACATTATATAGTAGGATCAGAATGTTTGGTCCCATTATAGGCTGATTTAATATCTAGAAATAATTCATGGCTATTACTAGTTGCAAGCATGGTTCAGGGTTGTGGTGTTTGCCATCAACTCGAATGGCCCTAAGATGCATTGGTTGTGAGAATTGAGGTGGCATGTGTAAAATGACAAATTGAAGGAATTGGATTCAAGTATTATTGCGGCTTCAAGAAATAATTTCGGGTGATAAGTTGTGGATTGATGACTCGACTCGACTCGGCTAGGTTGATCAAGTCGTCTCTGAGTCAACTACAAGCCTATTGAAACTTAAGGTTGCATGTAATGTGGAACGATATTAAAATTGGAAGTGTGGAGTCAGATACAACTTGGCTGATTATGATGATTGAGAACTTTTGGGGTCTTACAAACAAACTAGATCGTTTTTTCACTCATTTTTGGCAAAAAAATTAATTTTCACATCCAAAACCCTTCCTAAATAGGATTTATGCTTGCAAAAGTAGTGAAATGAGACTTGACAAGTGTTTCTCTATATTAGGGACTCAAAAATAAGGCAAAATTTGGATATCTTTAATTTTATAGGGGATGTGATCCAAAAAAAAAAAAGCATTACACCTCCGATTTTCGTTTTCTGTTATGTAACTTGTGTTTGCGCCAAGTCCATTACGGTCACATTATTGTTTTCTAAAACTATGTTCATCATGATTAAGTGTTAAATTTCGTATATAACTTTCCTACATCTTGTTAAACAGATCATTTTTTCCCTTAATGAATTTTTTTTTTTCTAGTAATGGGATTAATTTTTACTACACAATTAGTCTCTGTTTGCATGATTGTTTCAAAGTAGAACCTAATGGTCCGTTTGATACAAAGGATGAAAAGAAGGAAGGAAGGAAAAGTGAAAATAATAAGGTTTCCATCCTTGAAGGAAAAAAGTTATTTTCCTTTTTTTTGTTTGGTAGGAGGGATGAAAAGTAAGAGGGATATATTTTCTATTGTTTATTTTCTATTGTTTGGTATTGGATGGAAAATGAAAGGAAAGGAAAAACATATATGCCCAATTTACAATTCTACCCTTAAATATGTTTTTTCACTCCAATAAGTAAAGGGTAAAAAGGTCAATTTAAAAAATTATTGCCTTGCGTTTACTTTTACCCTCCACTTTCTGCCCAAATTTGGGCTGAAAATATTTGGTGGGCTGGAAGGATAGANATATGTTTTTTCACTCCAATAAGTAAAGGGTAAAAAGGTCAATTTAAAAAATTATTGCCTTGCGTTTACTTTTTCCCTCCACTTTCTGCCCAAATTTGGGCTGAAAATATTTGGTGGGCTGGAAGGATAGAGATCCCCTCCCACTTTCCACTTCCTCATACTTTCCGTTGGTACCAAACATTGGAAACATTTTCCTTCCCTTCCATTTTTCCTCCCTCACTTTCCTTCCACCCATTTTTCCGCCATACCAAACACACTATAAAAGCTCAAATCCTGCTTTTCACATGAATTTTTCAACTCAACTTAAAAATTTTGGAAACAAAGTACCTAAACTACCACCCACATCACCAAAGGATTAAAATTAAGGAGTGAAATGTGTTCTTGAATTCTTGAATATGGTATCAACATTCCAATCATATCCTTGAACAGACATACTTGCAATTGAAAAAATGAGTCGTCATGATGAGTTCTAAATTGCTACATTTCCATAGTCTTGGATGCCCCACATATTTTTTACCGTTTGAATATGGTTGGGCCAGTGATATCTGTTTATTGATCATAGGATTATCCAGCTTCTAAATTCTGATTTTAGAAATGGTTATACAATTGATTCCCTTCTTGTCCTAAATACAAATGAAGTTCACCTCCAGTCTGCTGGGGTTCATGCAGGAGCAATATAGGGGTTAATGTGTTCCTTAGTGAATTTTATGTGATGCAGTAATATGGTTCTAGAGAGGCTTTCACTTGAATTTTGGGAGCTTCATTTCCCCCAATAGGATCTAGAAGGAATGCCAAGTTCTTGTGAAAGTTGTAAGAGAGGTATTAGAGCCAAATTGGTTGGGGCTCATCTATTGATTGAAAATGGGTTTTAAAGTCAACAATTTTTGTTGGGTATAAACTTTGGGTAATGAAGGAATAAAGTGTGAAGAGAATCATCTTGATCTTTGGAAAGCTCCTTTCACTCAATAGGATGTAGAGGGAATACAAAGAACTGGTGAGAAGTAAGAGAGGCGTTATGGCAAGATTTAGAATTCATGGTTGGTTGCTTTATTTGTCAATTTCAATTTCAAGTAATGCATGCTAGTTTGCTTGAGTTGTTATTTTATTATGGAAAACTAAGAATCAAGATGAGTGAAATATTTCAAAGATATGGGTATCTAACATTAGGGTGCAAAATTTTTAAGGTTGAAAAGCATAATATTTTGAGATCTCATGCTAGACTGTTCATTATAATTGTGAATCAAAGAAGAGTCAAACAGAAACCCTTAGTAACTTGCTCATCAGTATAGTGTAACACATCCCAATCTCCAATTTAATTGTGATATTTGCTTTTTGGGGGGCCTGCATATAATCTTGCTAACTCCATTTTTAATCCAGACATAGTTTTTAGACAGAAAATCGGCACCACTTACTATCAATGCAATTTGATAGTAAGTGGTGTAGAAGGCTCACCGGTTTACCAGGAATCTTTCATTTCATTACTTGGGCAATCAAAGTTTGGTTGTTCTCATGGAGAAATTGAAAGTATGTCCTGGTAACAGAGATAACATGTGATGGGGGCTCAGTATCTGCTCAGACTTTTGGAGATTGTAGCCTCCATTTTATTTAAAGCCACGATTGTTTCAATTCCTCATGACTCATGATTGTTTGAATTCCTCGTGAGTTTTCTGCAGAGATGGTAGAGGTAAAATAATCTTGGGAGTGTCCTTTGCTGATAGAAAGGAAAATTGATCACCCATAATTATCCATGACTGTAACTCTATTGGGCCCTTTCAGAAATCATGAGTTTGATGTTTCCATTGTCCTGCTTATCCGTGATACTAAGCAATTTGAGAGGTTGTAAGTCTGGACTACACCTGTGATATTCATTAAAGCTTGCTGAGTTTTGCTTCGCTATTTTTTTAAAATTGTGGAGCTTACAACAAAGGGGATCTTTGAATCTCTCTCCTCCAAAGTAGTAGCAGGGGATTGGTTTAGATTTTTGTTCCTTGGTATTTAAATAAGTCAAGACAGGATGTTGCTTTTACTTTATATATGTATGTCACAGGGACTGTGTCAGTTTATGTCGTGGCTCCTAAGTTTGTGGCTGGCCTAGGACTAGGCTTTGGGGTCTCTGCCATATTCATTGTCTTTATATCTTTTTCTCAGCTGCTATAACTGCTTTCTTGAGTTAACTATTAGCAGTATGCTTTGATGTAAATTTTAGTATGATATATTCAGATGATGTTGCTTCTTTACATCTTTTTTCCCATTTAGGTTTTTGAATTAGAGAAAAGTTATATTTATTGATCATGGTTAGGGCTTTCAGTAATCAAATCCTAACAAAGGCAAGGTGGCAGGTGAATGAGATACCATGTTTTAAATCTATTCTAGTAGTTTAAAAGTTACTGTGGTGACAATCATGAAACATCAATAAGAATCTGATGTGGCTTAACACGTGTTAGCTAATTGGACTGTGTTAAGACAATGCTATTCTCTTCTATTATCATTATGGTGGCAAGGCACTAACTTCTACATCACGTAATACAGAAAATGGCAACTGAGAAAGTTCTTCAAGAAAGCCAACCGTCATCTGCTGCCATGAATCCTGCCATCTCTTCGTGTAGAAAGAAGAAATCCGAGAGTGCCACTTTCTTGGAGGATGTAAAGGATCACATCGATGAATTTATCCATGCTTCAATGGATGAACACAAAACTTGCTTCAAAAAGACAGTCCAGAAGGTTAGTTCCAACGCTGTAGCACATACAATCACTGGCTGCCAATTTGATTTTCTTTGACTTCATAAATGTATATGTGTATTCTTGCTTAACTATTTTGGTGTATTTCCAGATGTTTGGGATGTCAAAAATTGTTGCAGAAAGGAGTGCCAATGCTAAAGAAGTTGAAAGTTCTCTTCCCCTACGAACGACAGTTTCTGAGTAAAATATTTTTCAATCCCCTCGTTGATGGCCTTATGTCCAGTATTGACATCATGCAGTTTTGTCTAAGGACTAAAATCTCCATAGGATGGCATTTTGGGAATCTTAAGTATTTTAGTCGTAGTTTCGACTTTTGACATTTTTGAGGAGTCTTGTTGTTTGGAAGTTGGAACTAGGTTTGAATGAAGAGAAGTTGTGTTTTGCATCCTTTAGCATATAATGATCATATAGCAGCTGCATAATCACTACATTGATGTAGTATCAGTGGCATTGTTGTACCATTTTGTTTACATGTGTCAACGCAAAATGTCTGTTGGCGATGAAAACTAATCTATGTTAGTATCTAATAGAATCATCTTTTGTTAAAAGTTTCATGCCCAAATGCCACAACCTTGTCTAACTATCATTCCCAAAGCACAAGCCCTTTGGCTGTAACAAGAGCTGAGAAAAGCAAATGATATCTAATCTTTAATGGAGAGGTTAATCCCGAATTTGAACTCACAACATAGCGGTTGGAACTTTGGATTGACTAGTACACTTGCCTTCAATCCAAACTCGACCTCTTTGTATGACACACAGGAGATTAAATTTTCTCAGACCTCTAAAAATAAAATCCCAGAATCGCACATTACCGATACAAAGAAAGAGGGTAACTGAGAACATTAAACACCCCTGTAGAATATGGCTCGCCAGAAAAATCCCATCAAATGCTGTACACCTAACTATTATCATCCATCACAACAGAACTGCAGTGCACACCGAAGGCAGGTATTATCCAAATCCGAGGGCAGATCGCTGCCCACAAATAGTTATGTCATGCACACAAAATGAAATCAAAATTTCAATGTTTTCTAAAACCTGTGGTATAAATTCAGATTAATCATTCATACCATATAGTGAGAATAAGAATCTTAATCTCAGCAGCATTCCATGAAGACATATCGTCAGCAGCACACTTGCTGAAATCATCAGAAATTCAACCATGTGTTGTTACTCAGAAAGAAAAATTGCAACATACCAATGACAAGCAATGCTATCAACTACTCAAGATCTCAGGGAGAAAGTAAAATCAAACACTCTCAAAGTGTATGTTCCATACAATATAACCAGGAAGTTGACTTCAAGATTCCACTATCTTGTAATGTTAGGTACCACCATGTTTTAAACACTCTTTTCTTGTTAGGTACTACCATGTTTGAAACACTCTTTTCTCTTTTTCCTTGTTCAGATTTGCTCCATTTCATCAAAACTCAATTGCATATACTATAGTACACCTATACACACATAAATGCATTGTTTATCTATATACTAAACAGGTATACATTATTTTTGCTAAATAGCAGTTTTTTTTTATGACAAATTTATTATTTTTTGTCTTATAGAAGGAGTTCAGAGAAGGCATTACCGAACAATAAATTAAAATAAACAGAACCAATTTACTGCAATAATTGTGCACAAAGAAGTCCTCAGGTACATATACATTAAACTTAACTAGACGGTGAACTTATCACTTATTAGGGGAAAATAGAAAATTTGGAGTGCTAAAGCCAGATAAGTTAAAATAATTGGAATACTAGGACACAAATGTCCATCAGGTACAGAAAAAATAAATTTATGATAAGAGGGAAGGGGGAAGGCGGAGGAATGAATGGCAAAATTGGTAAATTAACCATTTCCACCAGCTGAAAGTTAGGAGGATTGCTTCAGTTTCTGTGGCAACACTGATCGGGGAATGGTCAGTAACGCAGCAGGAATTGACATCATTAGAGTAATCAAAACCACCATAAGAGATAATATGGAAGCAATCAGAGAAAAGATTGCCATGATAAATCACAAGCAAAATGATGAGATTCTAGAACCCAAGCATTTTACTGTTACTGTTAACATCTATAAGCACCAAAACAGCGGTCAAAGATCATTTTAACTCACTCTACAAATTCAACACTCAATAGGCAGTTTCTTCTTCCCTTAAAATGAGTTTACAAGCATAAGTATATATCTGCACTAAGTTCTTTTGCTGATATGATACAGTTATCGCAGATATGAAATCTACATTGCACTCATTTAGTCAACTATTTATGAATGTCATAGTCAATTGCCTAAGTACATACATACTTAGCAGCTACATAATATTTAGGAAAACAACAGTGAGATTTCATCCAATACTTTTTCCGTACATTAGTTCATGGAGGACCCACTAAGGATAATTGGGTTCCCCAACCATATTCCATATATAGCGGGCGGTCTACCTTGGGTGAAATTGATGAAAAAAACATTGGAAGAGACTTGAATCCGGAAACTACTACACTCCGAAGTCCTAGCAAAACCAATTTAGACAAACCCAGGTAGCCAATGAAACCTAGTTTCAACATAATAGTCAACTCCAAGCCACGAGTAGGAGAAAAAACCTACCAAGTGAAAAGACTAAACCGCCTACTGTATTATCAAAGCAACCATTCCCTCAAAAATAAATTTCATTTTTCCAATACGACCTTCCCATTCTAAATTTAAAATTTTAGGCTTTTGAACCCCCAGATATTATCAAACCTATCACGCTCTCTACTGAAATCAGAATGCATGTATCTCCATGAACAAACAGAAAGCTTTCCCTAACTGCCACTTCTTGCCAGCTCATTAATAAGCACAACTTATCGCAAAACCGAGCTGATCATTATTGCAACTGCATAAGCTAATTCCAGATTTTGGTACGCATATCAAAATTGCATGGTCCCTAATAGTCCCACTGGCAGTTATCAAATGTTTTCCTGCTAGTCATTTGCAATGTCCAACTTTTTAGACAAGATTCCCTAGAACCATAAAATCATAACTACAAAATATTAATAGGGAAGAGCCATACCACAGTGGCTCTACATTCAGTAAAGCTCCTTGACAAACAGCCCCCNCCAATGTCCAACTTTTTAGACAAGGTTCCCTAGAACCATAAAATCATAACTACAAAATATTAATAGAGAAGAGCCATACCACAGTGGCTCTACATTCAGTAAAGCTCCTTGACAAACAGCCCCCTTGTCTCACCTGCATAAATCAGTGACTACCAATTATTACAGAAAATACGGTTATCAACATAAACTAATGACACCTGTAACAATTTCACTAGCTAAAAATTCTACACTTTACTGTTACAGAGTAAGAAGTAAAAAAGAATTTGACACAGTATTTAAAGGAACTCCAATACAGACCTCACAATGTCCAGTGGTTATGCCACTACTGAGAATCTGCTAAGGCCCCGTGGAGACTGTGATTCAGCATCCATATACCTNGTAAGAAGTAAAAAAGAATTTGACACAGTATTTAAAGGAACTCCAATACAGACCTCACAATGTCCAGTGGTTATGACACTACTGAGAATCTGCTAAGGCCCCGTGGAGACTGTGATTCAGCATCCATATACCTCAGCGTGATTTAGTATTAATTAACAAATTTAATTTCTTTATTATTATGAAAATTTCTCCTGATGTGCACTCGATCAACATCTAAACCCAAACAATCACATCAGCTGATCTATCAACAAAACCCATTAAAAATCACTCCAAAAAAGAGAAAAAAGAATTCTGCTCAGCTATTGACCGCATAAAATTCTTATTTCTATTGAAAGCTACGAAAGGAGTAGTGAGTGATACATACAACCACCACAGATACAAATACAGAAACGACACTGAAGACCTCCTTACCAATCTACTTCCTAAGGGTCTTAACCTAAAGACCAGACAATATAAATTAACATAAAAGTAAATAACCCAATATAAAGCATATATCTTATGAGAAGTCGATAATCTGCTCCCACAACTCGAAGCTTCACGGATTAAGAATTGCAAATCTAATCCGCCCTCCAATTCAAACCTTCACAGATTAGAAGTCGATAACCTGTTGTCCCAATTCGAATCTTCCCGGGAAAAAAATAGGGAAATTCAAAAATTGAAGCAACCAAGTCCAATCCAACAAACCGCCTTACAATTCAATCAACATCAAGCCCGAGAATTTGACGCAAATCACTGGTAGCGCCACTATTCTCAGTTGAAACACTCCTCTTCCTGAAAAAAGCCGGTACAGGCAATGAACTCGGCGGTGGCGAATTAACAAACGCCGATCCAGCATATGAATTAGTGATTCTGAACTGTTTCATCAGTATATCAGGTTCCGGGCCCAACCGATCCGTTGATGACAACACAAAATCATCAATTTTTTTACTCTTCAAACCCTCCTCATCTGTCATCGGCATCGTTGCAGCCTTTGCTCTTGAATCATTCAAAGTTTTGGTCTTCAAATCCTCCTCATCTTTTGTTGGCCTCGTTGCTGCCTTCGTTGTCAATTCTTCCAACACTTCGCCGCGTTTCAATATCTTCACTTGCCCCATAACAAGGGCGTTTTTGGGATCCTGATTGGCCGGCACCATCGTCTTGGTGGCGCCGCATTTAGAGACTCTCGTAGAACTCCATTTTCGAGACCGTTGAGGACAATTAGGGTTGGGCTTAGGGTTTAAATCGAAATCACGGTTGGGTTTAGTGCTAGGGTTAGGGTTAGGTTTAGGGTTAGGGTTTCGACGAGACTGCATAGCACATAAATTAGGAGAATAAATCAAATTTGGACGAAGTAATCGATCTTTCAACAACTCTTGGGTTTGAAGAACTGCAACTCCACCCATGGATAGATCAGAGTTGCAAAAGTTGAGGATAAACCAAGATTTCCACAAAAAATTGATTTGTTAAAACAATAGGATATCAGATCTTAGAGTGCTATTGTGAGAAGAGAGCAAATTCGGAAGAAGACAAGAGAGAGACATATGAGAAACAGTAAGCTTTATCAATTTTGAGAGAGAGAGAGAGAGTTCTAAGTGTCCTGGTACAGTAGGAAAGGTGGTTTTTATATAGGATAGAGAGGCGGTGGATAACGTGGCGGCGAGGGTATGTATGGGATGGTATTGCGCTCTCACTTAAAGCACGTGCTAAACAAGACTTGATTTTATTTTGGAAAAAGGCAAACTTTTGGGATCTTAGGTGTATGCGGGAAATTTTTGCAAAAATTGATTTTTTTTTATTAAAAGTCCAGTCACCTTACAAATTTCTCTTTGTGTCCGTTTGGTTAAGAAAAAAAATAATAAAAAAAAATTAAAAAAAAATAATAAAAAATATATTTTTATACATTTATTTGGTTAGGATGAATTTTTTTTTAAAAATTTCATTATATTGTTTCAAAGAAAGAAAATTTATAATAATTTTTTTTAATTATCTAAATTACTCTTAATTATATAAAATCGGTCTAAAAAAGAAAAAAGTTATGTAATTATAATTGAAAGTTAAAATTTTTTTAAAAAAATGGCTTGAAACTTAATTTTAAGATAATCACCAAAAAAAATATTTTTAGATCAAATTATATGAATAATCAAATTCATACCAAAATTTTTTAAAACTAATAATCAATAAAATATGTTAAAAAAAATAAGGATAAAATAAGAAGTTAGTTATAAATCACAACTTTCTTGCTCTGTGAGAAAATTCAAGTATGAAGAAAAATTATTTTTCTCATCATTTTTTTTTTCATGCTAACCAAACACATGAAAATTTTAAAAAAATTTCCTTTCTTGCATTTTCTATCATTCTCTTGCTAAACAAACAAACCATTTATAATCAAAAAGAAAAATCTTTCTTTGGGTTTTTTTTTAGTTGTTATATCTTTTCCTGGAATAAAGTGATGATTTAATAGTTGTTACTCTAAGAATCCTCGAATTTATTTTATTGAATCTTTGTGGTTTTAGTATGAATATGAGATTTAATTGATGCATTCGAAAAAAATTTATATGGGTTTAACATAGCACGTGGCACACCCATGTGGTGTGTTTATCCAGTGAAACACTGCCCAAGCCAACTTATCAATTGAGCAAGTTTGTTAGCAGAGGTTAGTGCCTGAAGTAACAGAACAAATTTCAAGAAAAATACAATATAAAACTCCAATAATACTACCGAATAAATTTTGAGACCAAATCAAGAGTTTAAATGGCACGGGGACACTTGACTTGAGCTTGGTGCCATGATTCCAAATAATCAAGTACCATAACATTACTCATCAAACTCCGGAGCAATCTCTCTTCTGTTTCCTTTGAAATTTCAAAAATTCAACATTCACAATTCCTCCCTTCAGTACTATTCTTTCTCTCTCGATTTTGCTCTCGACTTTTTGCTTGTAATCGTCATACTTTCTTTGATTTCTCTTGTCAGTTATCATCTCTAAACTTAAAGTATGTCCATGTGCTGGGAATTTCTTTGATAAGGATTTTAAGCTATGCAACTTTACTTTTCATTCTCTTATAACAATTTAGGTGATCATTTATGCACGCTTGTTTCTTATTTTGGTTGCTTGATTTAACAAATTTTAAATGTAAAGTGTTTTCCCTATTGGTTATATGATACATTAAACTAGGAAAAAAATTAAAATTATGATGCTGCAAAATTTGATTATTGGTACATAGCTCCTCTTGCAAAGATCCAGTCGGATGACGATGCCCACTTTAAGCAGCAAGCAAAGTTTGATTCTACATTCATTAGTTTTCACTGGGAGCTCTGGATCTGATGCAATGGTGGTCAATACAAGCTTGATGATGATTTTATTAGTTTTGGTGGTTATAGGAGGATTATAGAGGAAATGACGAAGAAGAAAGTTGTATTTTTTTCGGAATTTTTTTTATGTAAATGAGAAAGTTGTATTTAGTGATTATGNAGAGGAAATGACGAAGAAGAAAGTTGTATTTTTTTCGGAATTTTTTTTATGTAAATGAGAAAGTTGTATTTAGTGATTGCGAGTTCTTGAATATTTGTTTTTACCTTTTTGGTCCTACTTTTTAGTTTTTGGGCTGAGTAAAAAATTTTGATATTTAAATATGGAAATCCAAATTCTAAAATTTTATTTGAGATATTTGTGCATTTTCTAATTTCCATAACTTGAAGTTGAGACCCAAAAATTCACATCATACAATCAAATAATTCATTTACAGCTTTTTTTTTTGGGTGCGGATAGTCGTAGTCTATGGGTGTGTTTAGGTAGTGGGATAAAGAAGATTAGGTAAATAAGGTAGTGCGTCCCATATATCCTTTGTTTGGAAAACAATTTTTGAGGCTAAATAATAATCTAGGGTCAAACCTTAACCTAGTTGCTACAATTAGGGGTGTTAATCGTGCCGAGTTAAACAGTTACGTATCGAGTTGAACGAGTGATGGATAAAAAATATATATACCCATACACGACACGTTTAATAAACGAGTAAAAAATTTTAACACGAACACGAACCGCTTAATATATAAATCTTCTCTTTTCTCCTATATTCCCTTCTAGTGCAGTTCCTTGTTTTGAGTAATGTTTTGGGCAAGTTAGTGCAGTTCTTACTATTTTGACAGGCCTACTAGCAATAGTATATATACCCCACGCTACACTGCCAACAGCACACCCACCATGGATGAGATACAGCGTATTTAGGCCTTGCCCACTCCACCACCGGATGCGGATCCTCTGCTGTTCGGAAGGAACAACACAGCCTGCAGTTCGGAAGCCTTTTTTAAAAAACCAGTCCGCCCAAAAAAACAAAAAAAGCCCTAAAACCAATTAGACCCATAAAAAAAAAAAAAGCCCCAAGGAACTGCACAGCCTGTTTGTTCGGTTAAGTTTGCCTTTCTTCTTCTTCTTCTTCATTTGTTTTTTTTTTTTTTGCTAAACGACACCGTTCCATTTTGTTCTTGAACAGTCCCAAGAATAACAATTTGGCGCTATTCTTGGCACACTCCTANAGTTCCAATCTTTGGTGGTTAACATACTGTTGCGATGCTTTGTTTATTAACAAGAAGCGAACCAATATTTGTTTATTGAGTTTTGCGATTCGTCCCCTTCATCAATTTCAAGTATTTTTATGTCTATTTTAAATATTTTAAGTGGATATATGTATAAACACACATACACACACACACACATATATATATATATATATGAATATACATACACACCCACAAATTAACATTTTTATTAGTCGGACTTTTGTTGACTTAAATTTAAATTTTAAAATTTTGAATTTTTGATTGTTTTGTTAATTTCTTTGATCATTATTAAATTTTATGATATGATTTTAATTGTGATGTTTTGCTTTGTTGTTAATTTATATTGATCGTGGATTCGAACCTCATCGTCGCCTTCTCTATGTAACATATTGCTCAAAAAACTTTAAAAAAAAATTCGTTGAAACTTGTTTTAGTGTTGATACACTAGTTAGTCTATATAATAAATAAATTAAACGACTATGAAAATACGTACGTTTCTTCAAAAAACTAAGATCCCCATAAATTTTCTAAGATTACATCTTTGTGTGAGGAGGTTGGGGCGGTGAAGGAGACGAAGAGTCGACAACAATGGCATTAGTGGGTTTTTTGAGAAATGAAACGAAGGGGTTTGTGGAGATGGTTGATGGGGGTTCAAACATTGTTGTAGCCATAAAGAGGCCTCTGTTTCAGGACGTGGGGACTTCAAGAAAATGTGGAATACAGGTACGCAGGACTCCATTTTTTCGCTTGTCACTCTTTTCTGTCATAGAAACTGAGATTTTTCTCTTTCGACAAATCGCAGAGCAGAGCAGAAAATTTCGAGATTGTTAACTTTGAGAAATTCTGAAAGAGATGTGCATTGTTTAACAATTGATTTTTTAAAATTTGAAATGGTAATAATGAAGCATGCTCTGCATTTTCCAGTTGACAATTGCCTTGTCATTTTGCAGAGTTAACAGATGTTAACTCCTCAAATAACTTTATTTGATGACATGACTTTTTCTGACAAAGAGATTATATGTCATTTTTTCATTGGTTTTGCACACCACGTGGGAGTGTTAAACCCACCCAAAAATTTCTCGAGGTCTTAACAAAGAAAGCCACATTACACACAAAAACTAACCAAAAAAGAAGAAATAGAGAAATTGAGGATTCAAGAGCCCCGTAAGGATCAAGATAAAGATAATTGAGCCAACTTGATATTTTGGTATTGCCACCGCAAAGAACTTTCAAATTTTCTTACTTCCTAAGAGAAGGTTGAATAAGAGATTTAGAAACTTCAAACTTTGTATTACATATCCACTGAATGACCTAACTCTCCGGCCATTGGACAACCATGCACCGGTTGTTAGGAATTTATGCTAATGACGTAAGTTTGGTCTTGGATTTATCAGAAGTGCTAAACTCTGTTTGTGTCATACCAACAACAACAACCTGCCAAAAAACTGGATTTAAACTAAAAAGAACAGGGAAAGTTAGGTTTGATTGGTTTGTTGGATCAACAAGTGCCCAATTTGTCAGCATAACCAAGATTTGTTTATTTAGATCTTGCTTCTTTAAATCAAGGGACCACATTTTTATTGAACGAAAAAAGAAGGTATAATAGCGAATAATTATTTTTTTTTTACATTATATCCCATTTGAAGGGAGAAATGTTAGCATATGATTTTATGCGTTGGGAACCCATTTGACGAAAAGACAAATATGAAAGAACAGTTGACGTAATCCTAAATAAAAGAAAAGACAAATATAAGGGAGGATTGAAGACTTTTTTTTTTTTTTGCTTTGAGTTGAGATGTCCCTCTTTTTTCCCTTTCCTAATTTACTGCTTGAGAATTTTATATTT